AAGAGTCACTTTCAAATAACTAGTTTACCTGATTAAAAAGAATTCTTCTCAAAGAATGTAGAATAAAAATCGCAAACTTTAAATTGCTTTATTAAATACATCTGTATTATTATTGTTTTTAACCCTGTTGAATGAAAGAATTCAATAAGAAACAACATATGCTCTTCCTTTACTCGGATTAATTCCAAAAAATATTGGCTTAAAATTTATCGAACTTAAAATAATAAAGTCAGTCAGAAATGGCAATTAATAATATTTTTTTATGTTATAAAAAACATTTTCGGTAGAACAATTCGATTTGTTTAGTTTCTTTGCAAAGCTCATGCATTTATCTTAACATTTCTACAAATATTAAAAGCTTTAAAAATTTAAAACTATGTTGAAAAGCTTAAAATGTATTTAACTTTTAATATATTTGTTGTACTATTAAGATAAATGGTTGATTATCATTTTAAAGAAATATCTTGCCCTTCTTAAGCCTTATTCAACGCGCCATGTAATATAAGTTCTTTAAGAGACTTTTATTCGATACTAAGATCTTTCATGTTTGACTTCCGCTCGTGGCCAAATTGCCAGTCTTTAAGCCATTCGACTGTTAGATGGCCATTTCAAATTTAAAGAGCGCCCGAAAGCATGCTTCGAATTAATGGCGAAACGTCTCGCCGCTTAACCGCACTCACAGGCGTGTCCATAAAAAAAGGCCACCCTGCCATTTGGCCACTCAGTCATTTAGCCATTGACGTCACTGAATTAAGGGCATGGCGAATGGCTCTTTATGGGGGGGGAGGGGGTTCTTTAGTAACGCAGCGAGTGCAGCATCCTTTGGCCCAGGACCTCCATCAAAGTGGAAGTAATAGCGCATAAAACAATAACAAACCGAAATGGCCAAACTCTCGACTGTGGTTGGGCGAAATTTGTTTCCTTTTCGTCCTGGGGCAGGACAATGATTGAAAAGTCGTATAAGCCGGGAAATGTTGCACGTGCTCATGATTCAATTAGGCTAGCAAAATGTCATTGTCTTCCGCTGGTGACCTTTGGCCGGCGGACACTGGTCACCTGAAGGGGGCTGGCATCTTAGCTTTTTTTAGCTACTTATAGACCCCTCAAACTATTTAAAATAAAATATAAATATTATGTTAATGTCATATTATTTTAAAGAAAATTATATATTGAAAAAGAGGAAATAAAAGGATATTGTGTCAGAATCAACTTGGTATTTACCTACACGTATATTTTTAACCATTGAATAATGTAAAATGAGTATTGAAAATAGTAGTTTTTGTTCGATTTTTGTTAAAATAAATTTGCAATTTATAAAGAGAGAGAAAACAAAATTCGGCAATATTATAAATGCCAGAAGGACTCGTAGAAATTCTTTAAAAACTATTTTACATCTTCTGATGAAAACGAATATCATATTCTTAGGTATAGAAACAGTAATGACTTTTCCGAAACTCAAAAAATGTACTTTTTAAACATCGAAATCGAAGAAGAACATGTTATCTTATTGATTTTATTTATTAGTAGTATTTATTTAGTATTCGGCAATATAATGAAATCCAGAAAATCGTGTCCAAAATTCTTTACAAATTTTTTTACATATTGTGATCAAAACGAATATAATTTCATTTAATTTTTTTAGTGTATACAAACAGTAAAGGAATTTTTGAAACTCAAAAGCTCTTCATTTTATACAGAACATGTTATTTAAGTATTTTTATTTATTAGTAGTATTTATTTGGTATTTTTGGTTAGTATCTAAAATTTGAAGTGAGTTTAAACCAATGAAATTCATTAAAATAAAATCTTATTTCCAGGTAAATCCATTTTAGGATGGCCAAAAAGAAGGCCAACACTGCGGCTGAGGGCGTAGGAATTTTGTTTGGCTGCTTGGGGCTCGGTCTTATGTCACCATCGTCTGCGCATGGCTTCCTTGCAGCAGGACGTTAAATATCAAATCCTATTTATTTGCCAATTTTACATTCGAGTGCACAGGCGGCGAAGGCGATGGCGATGGCAGCAGTGACGTCAGCGCTTCCATAGGCGCCACAGCAGAAGCCAAAAACTATTCACACCAACACACACGGCACACTCACACTCGCACTCATGCACACTCACACTCAAAAATGGCAAGAGACAAAAAAACGCATAATTTCATTACCAAAGCTCGGGGTTTGTTTTCAATGATGTCATATGGTCGCTGCAAAAGCCGGAAGTCCAAAAAGAGTCCTTGCCAGGCGCAGGCGCTTTGTGAAATCCTTAATAACTCTCTCTCTTTTTTCTCTAGGTGCATCTCTTAGCAAAAGGACATGTGACGTCACGGTTCTCTTAAGGAAAGTTGAGTTTTCCACGGACTGTTTTTCTTTGTATCTATGTGTGTGGGTCAGCAGCTGTTGTTATGGACGTGTCTTTAGTGGTTCATTTGCCACGATTTTACGTTTATCCTCGAAAGCCCCGTTACTGGTCGCCAGGACATCATTGGGATCAATGACCCCGCTGAGCTGGCGGTTTGAAATATATTAAATTACCAGCTTTTTGGTTAACATTTTGCACTAATTTTGTGGAGTGAATGCGTGTTTGTATTTGATTTGCCCGAAAGGCTTTTTCCCTCACCACCCATTCCAAAACCATCTTCCACATGTAATGTAAGTCAAACAGTGTGCAAATTTTCTTTGTCAATACTCGTTGCCATTTGCCATTTCCATTCCCATTTGCCAATCCCCATTGGCCATTAGTGCCAGGATAACAGGGGGCGAAAGCCAGGCAAACAAACAAATTCCGAGTTAAACAAGCAAGGATATCCCCCTTGAAGTCTGCAGATACGATTGACATTGACGCAGAAGTAAAATAAATCAAAACACACAGGAAAATTCCTGTAAAATGTCAAGCGGACTTGGGAAATATCATCCCATTTGCCATTTGCCATCGCCATCGCCAGCATGAAAAGTTCTTCCTGTTTTTGGCCAAGTCAAAGGAGAAGCGTAAGCCAGGACATAACCGAAGCGAATCGTTGCCTGCATAACAAATTTATCGCCGGAAGTGATTTTCACTGAAATCCAATCAATAAAAAATTATGCTACTGCTAAAAATAAAGGGAGAATTTGGGTGATGGGGGTCCACCAATTTCGGGCACAGCTTGATGGCGGCCGCCTGAAAGTAGGCAACGATAAAATGGCAACGCTTTTGCATGCCCATCTCGCTGATTGCGAGTGTATGTGTATTAGTATCTGTGTGCGAATCAGGACTCTGGACTCCCTGCAGAAAAAATAAACCCAGTTCGAGTTTTCGTGGGGCCAGAAGTGGCAATCTGCTGTAAAGCGCAGAAAGATTGACGCGAATTTTTATGCGTAAATCCGGAGCAAAGGAACTGAGAGGAAGTCCTTATTCGGGCAGTACATAAGCAATTTTCGTAGCAAATTCCGGCTTAATCTATGCTTCATATGGTGCGCATTACGCTTCACAAGGACTTTTATGATGGAATCGGCAAGCCAAGCATAAAATAATTGATTTTCTTTCATTTTTCAGTACCATATTTAGGCACTGGCTTGTAATGTTATATATTTTGTGCTATATTTCAAGAGTTCTTAGAGAGTTCTAGTTGCTTATGAGTTTCGATTTTGGTTCTCTGGTATCCTTAAAAATATATTTTGAAAATATATACTATTAAATATAAATTAAATATATATGTATACCCTGAAAATATATATATTTTTAATGTTCGATGGCCCTGGCAGCTGATACCATATGTTCATAAGAGGGTCCTAGATTAGTAAAATATAGAAACTTTGTGAAAAAATATAGAACAAAATAAAATAAATAATTTGTAAAGACCTTAAATTATAAATTATTTTTCTGATTTTAAACTTTAATTAAATATATGTTTGGAAAATATATACTATTAAATATTAATGAAATATATCTGTATACCATGAAAATATATATATTTTATATTAATTTTCAATTGAATTACTATTATTATTTTCATCCAAATTAATTTTAAATTTTGAAATATTTCACATTTAATAATTATACCCTATTTAAGGATCTTAAAGTTTGACTAAATACCATACGAAACTTTAAACCTAAAGTGACACATCATATCATATATAGTTTTTTATAGTACATATTTATACTTACTATCTCACATTTTCTTTATCAGTGTAAGCTTACATTTTCAATGTTGTTAATTTTAAAAACAATGAAAAATCCCGTTGCTTATTCGCAGTAATTAAATTTCAACACTGAGCTCCCAGAAACAAAAAAAACCCGGCATAACTGCAAAATAATTAAACATAGCCGAGAATAAAGTTTTGTAATTTGAAAATGCCAAAAAGTTTTGCCCAAAGTCTAGCGGGCTGCTTATCGAGTGGACCAGAAAAGGTACATAAACGTATCCCCAGACAAAACTTTGCTTGTAAGCATTTATTTATATTAAATTCCCCCGGGGGGGGAAAGGGCGAACGCGACGGGGTTCTTAAGTTATGCGCCATTCTAAGATAGCATATTTTTTGAGATAAATCAACAGAGAGCCCAGATGCAAAGGGAACACAACAATAACAAAAGAACAACCGAACTGAGAGGCAAAAAGCACTGAAGGAGAGAAAAGTGTAAATAAACAAGAAGAGCTGCAAATGGCCAGCTAAAATCTGGCCAAGAACAAAAGGTTATTGGGTAATTTATGGCCACAAGTTGCAAAAACACAAGTCCATTTGGTATATCTATAAATATATATTTACTATATAAATTTAACACGTGCAATTGGTTAAATTTACTGCCATGTGACGTCACAAGACTCGAGGGCTGCTGATAAGAAAATGCAATACTAAAATCAGTTAAGAGAGCGACACTCAGCTGGCTGAAGAGTCAGGGCAAAGAGAGAGAGCCACTGATAACAGGGAGAAAGCTGGAGAAAGTTGAAAAAGAGAGGAGCAGAGAGCGCAGCTATCCGCAGCTATAAAAGAAAACGCCAGAGGCCGCAGCCCTCAATTCGTTAGTGGACGTGCCGGCGATCGCATCAAGCGAGGAAAAGCTCCTCCAAAAATTTCAGTTCATAAGAAAAGCCCCCCAAAAACAAAACCATATATATTTTTGTAGTAAACATAAAAATAAAAAAAAATTAAAACATAACAAACCATACAAAAAAAAATCAGCGAAGGAAGCAAGAAAATGTTTCATCTTTGCATTGACGCACAGATATAAAGATACAAAGATACAAAGATAGCTGGCCAAATGACATCAAAGTGAATGTAAACAGTAAATGTTAAACATTTGCCAAGTGCCCGTAAATAAGCGTGAATAAATTACAATTACACGCGTCCAACTGCGCAGCAAAATATGCTAGTGAAAAGTGCCACAACAGCAGAAAAAGGAGCCGCTTTTCATCTGAGCCAAAAGGGAGCCCTGCTGTAGTATTCATTAAAGCCAGGCCAAAGGAAAATTCAGGAAAAACTGGAAAAGCAGCATCGGGAAAAGGTGAGCCAAGGTGTTTGTGTGTCTACGTGCCCTCAAATTAACCAAAAAGGCTGCGAGCGAAGGAGTCCCGAATATGTAAATTCACAGACACCTTTTGGGGCTGGTCGAAATGGGGAAAATTCATTCCATCAGTGAAAAGAGCAGCAATCAGCGGGAAAAATGGCTGGCCAGCAGGAATGATGACATAAAGAAAGGGTAGCCGAAAATGTAAATAAATAATGGCCAGCGGCACACTTAATATTTCCCGGGTGCCAGTGCATCCATGTTAAGCATCCCAAAGTGCAATTACCAAATATGCCCCAACTCGTATTCCCCCATTTTCGAGTACATATATAACCATGTTCGATTATGACCCCGTTGACAGGCAAATGTTTTTCCACAAATTTCCGCGAAACTCGCAGAAGCCAGAGGGATTCCTTGGCAGACCCAAAATTGCGTGCAGAGAGAAAAGAAAAACACAGAAAGTTGTAGAAAAGTTTCGGAAATTTCAAATTCAAATGTCAATACAACTTTTGGAGTTTACAAATTGTATTAAATTCTTGGAAAGTTGCTTTCAAGATGCTTTCAACTCAATTTTAGGCGAAAAACAAATGGTATTTATATGAATTTAGATAAAAAGGTTCTTCAAATGTCAATCCACACTTAAAATATCCTTCGGTGCTTTTATATAATGTTTTAAAATGCGTTTGTTATCCATTTAAAACAAAAAACTGTATAGGGCTGTCAAACAACTCACTAGGGTTTTGATCACTTTTAAATTCAATACTTGGTGTCTAAAAGTATGCAGTAAATAAAGAATTACCGACATTCTGATTGAATTCATTGTTCTTCTGGTTTTAAAATGTATTGTTGCATACTTTTAGACACCCAAAATGACTTTTTAAATTGATTTACAAGCCATAGTGATTTGTGTGACAACCCCTTTAATATATTATAAATACAGATTGGATTAAAGGATTTCCCACTTTCTTTGACGGCTTAAAATATTTTTATTAGTAAGAAAATAAATAATGACTTAAAGAAAAACATTTTTTATCAATCAAGTATCACTGGAAACTCGCCGTTTTATTAAAAACATTATTTGATTTTCTCCCACTGTAGCCAAAAATTATCGCTCAGAGGCCATAATTCGCATGGCGCTGACTATTCGATTTGATTTCCCTTTTCATTAGGTTTTCACTGCTAGAAAGAAAAACTGCTTTCCAATTAAAAGAGCTTGGCGCTATTTCGCGGAAATTTAGATTGCGTATTTTGGGCATTTGTCCAGGCAGATGCCCATTCCAGTTTGGAATAATGATTGGTTCATGCCGAGACCAAAATACGTTTTATTTCGCTCAAAACAGTTTCGATTTGTTTTAGTTTATGGGCCATATTAGCTGTTTTAATGGGCTTACATTTAAATAGAGGTTTTTCGGGGTGTGGAAAATTAACGGACTGTTTAACTTATGCTTCGCATTTCCATCATACCTGCATATTTATATGATTTTTTCCCTTTTTTCATCGCTACCCATCAGAGCGTTAGTCAATTTCCATAATTAAAAGTGTCAAGCAATTTGCTCAACGTCCGGGAAAAGGCAGCTGTAGACGGGGAAAATCGGGTAACATCCGTGACATGGGAAAAAGGAGCAGACAGTTGCCAGCAGGCTGGTGGGCGACATGTCCTGCAATTTGCTTCTGATTCAATTACTTTTGCCCATTCATTTTCGCCCCCCCTTTTCCCTTTTACCTCTCATCTCACCTGGCGCCCATGTGCATAATTTGATTTTGCAGCACAAAGTAAACAAATTGGAGGGTGGTGGGGGCAAAAAGTGCAACACAGGGCGTATGCTTGATTTTTTTGTATCAAAGTTTGTTCTTTTTCATTTACATTACTTCACTACACATTTAACTAGATCTCCAGTGTGTTCTTGCCATAGACAATTTGTCGCGTTTGCCACTGCTATTTAGCTGATGGTTTTATCTGCACCCCTGTCCGTTGTCGTTCTAATTTGCGATAAACTGACACAAGATTGCAGCTACTTTATTCAAATTATGTGATAAGCCGCAGCGTCGCGCAGCCAGAAAAGCAAACAAAATGGCAAAAATAGCACGAAGCTCGGCACAGAAATGTGACACAGGCCCCAAGTATCCCAAAAATCCGAGTACCCACACCCAGTCTTTACTTTTTTTTTCCAGTTTTCTGTGTTTTTTATTATTTATTTTTTGTTGGAAGTGTGCTGCACGCAAATCAGTGAGGCAAGCATTTTGCCCAGGGGCGTGGCGTTCGCATTGAAGTCACCATCCCGCTTTTCCCTCGCTTTACCCCTCAGTTTTCCTCGCCCGCGGTGAGATACGCGATACGCAAAGAAGATACGCGGCCCAGCAGATACACTAGGCAACAAAGTTTAGCATAACAATGGGCAAACGTAGACAATAAGAAATTTTTTTTCCGAATTTGTTGTTAAACCAAGTTCGGACAAACAAAGAACTTTCCAAGCAATACAAAAGATGGCCTTGAATTTCCATTGAAAATAAAATATTTATTGTTATATACTTTGTTGGGTTTTCTATAACAAATCAAGGTCATTCCACATATATGTAGGAAACAATATTAATATAAAAACCTTTGGCATTTTAATAAGCAGTTCAGGCAAGTGATATTTTCCTAATGCATTTAAATCAAAATACTTTCAACCATAAAAAGAAGTAGATATCGGTTTTTATATGATATTATATTTATTATATAAAAACCGATATCTATTTCTTTTTATGGTTGAAAGTATTTTGTATCTTTAAATAAATCTATCTATGCTTATAGCCTTGCAGTGTACGAACGTTTCGTACATTTAGTAGATTTTCCAGGTTAAAAGTAATGTTAATTTTAATTTTACAACTACCCTGTTGGCCAGTGTAATGGCACCAAGTAAAAAGAGCCATTCGGTTCCCTGTAAATTTCATTCATGTCAGTTTTTTGTTTGGCCAGCGCTGATTAGAGGTTCAACGCTGGCTGATAATTTGCCAAATACTACAGATACAGATATGGCAATGACTACTACATTTAATGGCAACGACTTATCGCCCCGCCAAGTGCGTCTAATCGATGTTTTGACTCTACTATTAAATCGATCCCATCATCCCCATTACGCATACGTCCCGTGGGCCGTGTGCCCAGTGCTAATGAACTTCCTTCAAAGTTGATTAAAGCCCCATTCCCCATTTTACCAAGCTCTTCGGGGGTCTCGAGCCGAAATAATTTCAATTTCACACAGTGAACAACACACAAATTATTTCAGCAACAAACTTTGATGTCAAAGTTTTGCACTATTCTGAATGTTTAACATGTGTTCCATGCCATGGGATATATACATGGCAACAGTCGTGGCTAAAATAATAGTTTTAGGAACTAAATATATTTAATATATTGTTAAATTCAAAATGGTTTTTTAGACTTTGTTATAGGTTTAAAAAATTGTTCTACGCAAAAGAAAAAATGTAATATTACAAATGCATATAGCATCATAGAACTTGTATTCCATTAATGATTTTAAATTGGTAAGGATTATTTCTTTGGGTTTATGGTGTAGTAAATATTTCTCAAATATACATTGAATTGTAGTTGTTAAAAAAATATATAAATGTCGGATTATTTTAAAGGTAGTTGAATAGGTAGTTTAATATAAAACTTGTCTATATTTACTGGGTATAGATTAGGCAACATAGTTCCTATTTTTGTAACCCCAACTGTACCTGCATACACCCGCCCATATGTTTCCCATGTACATATATAATTTGGCATTGTTTGCGGTGGTGCAAAGGAGAAAAGTTTTCCTTGCATTGTGCAGACGACTCCATTAGAATGAAAAATGCGCTTAGACGACCGAAACTTCCACATCGTCTGGATATTAAGATAAATTTATTACGGACCAAATAGAAACTCCGGAAGAAACTTGAAAGACACAATCACTGGGTTTAGGACTTGGCCAAGAAAGCACTGTGTAAACAAGCCAAGTTTCAGTACTATTTGTTGGCCAAGTTGGGTGCCTTGATTAAAAGTAAACTCGTTGAATTAATTATATAATTCGCTTGGTCCAACACAATTAACACTTTGTGGCATAGTTAAATATTAAATAACAAAGAGATTGAAGACTAAGAACAATAGATTTACGGCACAAACATAGAGTGTTTGCTTTTACTTTATCTGATGTTTGCCCCGAAGATTTCCTCACAATTTCCGCTGACTTTTTGTGTTTGCTAATTTCCTTGCAGCATGCACTAAACTCGAGGAGGAGCTAACCCATCTCCCGTCTCTTTCCGGCTCGCTCCCCTGTCGCCGTCCCTTTCTATTGAAGCGCCACGGAAGAAGAAGCAGCAGAAAGGTATGTAAACACGTATAAATAGTCAAATAATTCGCTTTTAACGGGCTCATCAAAAAGTAAACAATCCCCAATCCACGGGGACTATTACTCTCGTATCTTGTATCTTGTAGATGTACACAGGAAAGAAAATCCTACAAATTTAAATGGCCTTCCAAACATTATATCAAATATTTCAATGTTGTTCGTAGATAAAAAGAGTTCTTAGATCAGTACGTTTTTAAGCCAGTTGTTTTCCCAGCGTATCTGTATCTAAATATGTATCCGTATCTGTCTGGAACCTGGCTGTTAACCCTTGTTCGCCCCTGTTTGCCGGGGGTCCCAAAGGTTATGCCAAACATAAATTATTTGAGCGCGTGTTCAGCAAAATGTTGAATAAATAAGAGTGCGGCCTGTTTGCGCTGTCATAAAATGCAAAAGGCGCCCGCCGAGAGCCGTGTAAATAATTTAATTTCATTTTGTTGCCACTTCTATCTATCACAACTATCAGCATAATGATGAATGCGTAAAGCTACTTTTACGGCGCATAAAACACTAATAGGAGAGCCATTACAAAAAAAGGCCATAAAAGTTGCGCAAATTATGGTCGTAAAACAATTTATCAAAATATGTGACATTAACTGCCCCATCACATGTCAATCATCGAAGGACATGCTCATTAGGCGTGGCCCAAACGAATATGTACTATGTACTATGCTATTTTTAGTGCAACAATTATCCGACCCTTGGCATATTGCAAAGCGGAAACGGAAATAGAAATACAGAATGGCAGCGGAAATGACACGGCGGCCATTGTTGAAGTCCCAATGGCTCCGGATGTTAATGAGATGCAAATAAGGCTCATGTGCGAAAACGATTTGACCGAGTTGGCATTTGCCAGTCACCATTTACCATTCGCCATTTGCCATCCACCATTTGCATATGTCCCAGATCCGGATATGCGACTATGCGAATAAGGACTCCAAGCAGGACCTTTGGCATACGAGTATCTGCGCATTACGGCCACAAATACAGCGGCATTTGGGGAACACAAAGTGACGGCAATATGTGATAATGGCGTCTGACAGCCCCGACGAGAGTGTGTTAGTGTGCGGGGGCTTCGTCCTTTGTGAATAGAGTCCTGTTAAGGCGGCCCACAGGAACGCTCCTAATCCAACGTCCGATTCGGGATGTGCCATTCAGGGTTAACGTGCTGTAAAAAATCGTCCTGCAATCGGGCTTGTATGTGCTAAAATGGGCACAAAACGTAATGTCCTTACGAAATTGGCGACAAAACGCGTCAGCACAACAAGGGGTTTCATAGGAATATTATGTAAAATGAAAACAAATTATAATTTCTACTTGATTACGATTATCAATGCAAAAAGCTGGATGGGATTTTATTAAATTATTTATTTTATCAGGTGTAATATTGTAAATATGTAAAATACGTGACTTAAAAAATAGGAATATTATGTAAAAAGAAAACAAATTATAATTTCTACTTGATTCCTATTATCAATGCAAAGAGCTATATGGGATTTTAATAAATTATTTATTTTATCAGGTGTAATATTTTAAATATATAAATTACGTGACTTAAAAAATAATATAAAAACAAGGAAGAACGGTATAGACGAGTGGGCATTAAAGTGGGCGTGGCAGACTTTATTTGGGTCAATAGATAGGTATCGATAAGAACAACGCATATCAGTTAACAATTTAATTCTATAATTAAAAGCCCACAGTTTTGGCAGGTTTGTGGGCGTGGCACCCTGCCTTAACATACTTGCGCTGCGCAGGAATCTCTAGAACTCGCATGCCTAATCCTAGTATTGAGGCTTTTGTTCTATAAAAAACTTGAATCCTAAACTTTAAAGTAAAAACTGTACATTTTATTGGAAATAGGTGCCTATATCTTATTATAATGTTTAATTATTAACAAACTATTAAATATTTTATTTAAAGAGTTAATTTTGAGTTGAAATAATACATACTTATATTAAATTCCTTTTAAAATATACTTTATTATTTGCCTATCCTTTTTCTCTATGGATGTTTTTCCTGACACCCTGACAGTTATCGGTTCTCCGGTATCACCCACATAGATTACAACCCGTGGCATTCGCATTTAGCCCGTCAAATGTGCCAGTCAAAGTTGCCGACGCCTTTGCATTCTTTTTTTCACAGTCGACTTGCCTTTGTCTTTGGCCACGCGTGGCACTCCAATTAAGCGACAAAATGCCTTCAATATTTTGTCATGTCTTTGATTTATACGAGTTTCGAGTGCTCGAAATTTGAAACATGTGTCGGGCATTCCATCTCAATATTGGCCAACTGTCGCCAGTGGCAACGCGGGGAAATAAACCCAAGCTACTTTTCCGAATCCCGAGGATTGGCTGGTGATGATGACGTATGGGCAGGTACAGTGGGTGCATTGTGCAATCGCCGGGAACCCTTAATTGACACACATGAATGAGTACGAGTACGGTATTTTTTCAGCTTGCCAAATTGTTGAGGTGAAGCACAATCAATTTTTCATCTATCCCTGGCTCTGACCAAAACAAATACACACAATCGCACTGCCCGTTGAATGTCAATAAACCGCACACACTGACAGCATTGAGTATCTGTGAGTTAAACAATAACAATAACAGGGCAGAGACAAATCCGTTACTCGCAACGCCGTCGACGTCAACATTTCAATGGCCATTTTCGCTGCGGTCTAAAGGGGCTCTGACGTCAGAGGCCGACCGAGTGGTGAGTGCTATATGTTGTACGCTGTACGCTGCACTGAGAAAATAAACACTCGGAAAGGGAAAAATATTATTTATATACTTAGTAATGTGTATTGTATCACTAGTAGAGTTGGTAAATAAGCTAGCTAAACAAACTTTTTACTTACTTCAGATTTGAGTTCGAAATTGAGAGTAAGTTCTATAAAATAAAATATAACACTTCAATATGGAGTTATATTCCTAGTTTTATAAACAAGCACACTTTGCAAACTATTTATTTACCTTCCATTTGAAGATAGCTTGATTTGCTTTTCTGTGATAACCTTTCGTACAACTATGATAAGTTTGAATGATATAAATGATTCATTTAGTACGGCATTCATAGTTGACATAAATACTACAAATGTATATATGGCTTTAGGCCATTGGCTTAACTAAATTTTAGCATTTAAAATTAAAAATTAGTATTACAAATAATCTTAATTAATTACTATCTTTCATGATAATAACTATAATTTACTTGAAAATTATTAGTGAACAAGTTCATCCTTTCATAATATCTATTATAATTATAACTGCAGTCCAATACCCATTAACTTGATGTTTCTTTACATTAGTTTATAAATACATTTAAATATTTATATTCAGTTCTGATGAATTATAATTTGCAATCCTAAATATTTTTCCATCTGACGATTTCTTCAATTTTTTATAAAATAATCTTAAGCAAGTCAAGTTTTTAAGGCATTCTTTCTTTATGAAAGATTTATATACACATTTATTTTTGTTAATTTATTAAGCTATGTAGAATTTCTCCCCCTGTATTCACTCGGTTACGAGATACCACACAGATTTATATTCCCTATCCATGTGCGTTTGTAATCTGGGGCAGCCAAAAAGCGTTTGCTATTTTAGGTTGTGTGTTGTAAGTGCGGGCATTGCTGCAGGCCAAAACGAATCCGAATCCGAGTCCGAATCGATTTGGCCACTGGCCACTGGCCCAGGAAATACTGGTATTTCTCATCTGTCACGCTGACCGGAGGGGCGTGGCCCGGCTTAAATATCTCTAGGAAATGGCAAAAAAAATACATGAAAGAAGGAAAGAAATCCTGGAAAATTCCGCTTTAAGAAGTTCGGCATTCCGGCACTTTATTTCTCGCTCTGTCATGCACTTTGCCCCCGTTGGTCGGTACAAATTTTCCACTTTAGTTCATCAAATATTTAACCGCAGGGGAACGGAGCCGTGGCATCCGTGTAAACATCCACGAGTTCCGAAAGCCGCTAAAACCGCAACCAAAACAAACTCAAACAAGGCGAGCAAATCTGAAAATCTTTCTAATTGTGGCAATTCAATCAAATCGCTTTCCCTTCCTTTGCGAGCTTTTCGCTTGGCTTTCCGCTAGGATTTCCGCGTTTCGCAATAGAGATGGAAAATTAACCACTTTATTATTTGCTATATATACTTCAGAGATCTAAAATAACAAAGTACATATGGTTTTTTTCCTAACTTTTTGTTAAGTCATTTCTAAGTAAATGCAGCTAAATTATTATTATAAAAATAGAATAAATATTATCATATATTGCCTAACGAATTTATGTTTTCCAATTTTAATATTAGTATATAATTGCTTTAACTAATTAAAACATTAATAATACAAGCGGTTAACAGCATGTTGATTGAAAACAATGTTTTTATATTTTAATAAAATCAAATTTTAACTCATTCAAACATATTTGCTATGTAAAACTATTATAGTATTGCCCTTTATTTTTTTGTTTGTTAATTTGTTTATTTTTGTACAGTCCAAAATAAATATGTATATAAAAAGAAAACATATTAAGATAAACTTAGGGAAGTTTATTTCATAAAAATGTTATTGACTTAAAAAAATAAAGAGATATATAAAGAAAATAATGAAATATTTTTACACAAACTTAGGGAAGTTGGACTTATAAAAATATTATTGATTTATGTAAAGTTTTGATCTATAAAGTGTCATCTCTGCTGTCTCCGGGTTGCCAGGTTGCGGAGGCTAGTCGACCAGGTGCTGCAAATGTGTAAGGTCAGCTATAAGATCATTCCGTATTTTTATACTTATGTGCCGAAAGACGCGGCGTCCCTCCATTCAGGCATCGATTTGTTTGTTTGCCTGTCTATTTTTATAGATCGCCGGCATGCACGGCCATTCTCCTCCAGCACGCTTCTGTTTATCGAAGACAAAACAGTTTTTATTGTTTAAGAAATTATATTCAGCAGCACATGGACATGAACACACCTCCCAGTCC